GTAACAAAAAAGGAAGTCTGACATTCCACTAACGGGGGGAAGTATACAGAGATGGAGGAAAAAAGGAAGAAAAAAAGCCAACAAGCCCAAATGAAAAAAAAAAAAAAATCATTCCCATCAATAAAATAATGATATGTAAACATATAAGCATTTCTCCCACTTCACCCAAAACTCTGCCTATATGAAACGTCTAACAAATTCTCAATCTGTGTAGCCGACACCAGTCCTCGACGCGGGAAGAATTCGCACGACAAAGCGCCAAGCGGCAGCGGAGTAAGGACTGTGCGGGACCGGAGAACGCAGCCGCGCTGTGCCGAAGGCGCGGAGCGTTCGCAGCGGCCAAACGAGGCAGGTCGCGTCCCTTCACTGCCGCGCTGCCACCCGATGGACGCTCCAAGCATCCCCATGCCCGAGTCCCGGGCGTTTCCTCACTCAGGCGCTTTCCGCAGGGACTGAGCTGCTCTTTCTCTGCTAGAACACTAAATGCAGCACTACTCACTCTGCCTGGCGCTGGAAGTCTCTTTCTAGACTCTCGTACAACTTTAAATTGGTGAGCACCAATTTCATTCTAGTGCAGGGTAAAGTCTTTGTAGTTAAGAAAAATATGTAATACACAGACAGTTATGGCTTTCTGTATATAAGGATATGCTGTTATCTAAAGAAATAAAGCACAAAGCAGACCCTTGGGCATTCCTCTAGCACATATGTGCTTTCAAACTCTTAACCATAATATTTTGAACTAAAGCTTCTTTATGTTTTTTATTCAGATATCAAGAAATTGTATAAGCAAACAACTTGAAGACAAATTCTGTTAATAGACTATCTAGTCTCTGTCCAGTCAGGGGAAAAAAATTGTTCAGGTGTATTGTGCACCTGACCTGATTTTATGCCAGGATCAGAGATACTGATTTTGCAAAATGTATTTCCATTTGAAATCTGCACAAGATATTTTCACATATTGTGGGCTCTCAGTTAAGTGTCTCTCTATCTGCAGCCCCAAAGAAGAAAAAAAATTGGGTGTTCAATCAATTATTCAAAAGTTGAAGCTACTTGAACAGGTAAATTCTATTTAAAATTCTGCCATTAAATCAACATATTCTAGTCCCAAGCAGTATCAGGTCTTCCACAAACAGCAAGTTATTTAAATTTTTCTTATAAAAGCAGTTAATAAATGAAGTCCTGTGAAATATCTGCTGAGTGTTATGTTTATGTTGCAATAAACAGTCTACATTTGTAATGTGGAATATAAAAGACTTCTCATTCTAAGACATCCAGTATTCATTTTGTGTGGATGAAACAAATACTACATAACAATCAGCTCTTTTATGAATAATTCAAGTCCAAATTAAGTTTTGAATGCTTCCATATTAATTGTATGCTAGTGCAAAATGATAATCACTATGTGAAATAACTATAGTCCAGGAAGAAAAAAAAAGTGCCTTTTCTATTTCTGCTATTAAATGGGATCAGTATATTGCAAATCCTCTTTAGGACAGGGTCAAGTTTCTGTTCATGCTGTATCACCACTCTGTGCACGCCATTTTCAGGTTCTCTTGCACCATTACTAAAAAGTCATCCCTCAGTATAGAAAATGCTACCAAAATAGCTGACCCACGGTTTTGTTACTTTTCACAAAAAAATAGAAAACATTGCTAAAGGACAGTAATATGCGGCTCAGACACAGTTACTTAGGTGTAGGTATGAAACGCAGTTCACAACTAATCAAAATATACAAATCTACACCTGGAACAGAGTGCAAAAAAACCCCAAACAATCTCAAAACAGAAGGTATCCCACTGAGAGCTCAGAAGGCATTAAAAAAAAAAAAAAGTAAAAATAAAAAACATTCTTTTTCAATTGTTTTTCCTAATGTACAGCCCACACTACTCTTTGTGTCATTGCACAAATATTTCCCTGCCTGCTGTCAAATAATCACAGCTCCCCAGCTTCCAAACAGCACTGCTGGTAACTTTTAGCTCTTACATACTTCTGCTCACAGCACCCACCCTCACAAGGATACCCAGCTGGTGTGCATTTCTGCTGCTGACTCAAAATGCCTCTGCCACTGTTCATTAAGCACAGGTGCACAGCCCCTTGATCCTCTGAACTTGCCAGCCCCAAAGGTGGCAGCCAAGGTGGGGCTGAGTGGGACACGGGGCCGTGGCATTCCCAGGAGTGAGGCTCCAGCACAGCTCATGGCACCCCTGACAAACTGAGCTGAACGGGGAGAGCTCCTCCCATTCCCCCTCTCTACCCACCCAAGGACAGGCCCAGACATAATCAGGTTGATAATGCAATGCTACCATTGTTTTTTAACCCTAGCTTATAAATGTCACATTTTCACATCTAAAAGTTAAATGTGGAAATAAATTAATATATAATGTAAATGTTAGTGCTTTAAAAACAGATATAAACACTAGTAAAAAAAAAAAAAAAAGCCTGACACTGCAGAAAATTCCTGGGAAGTATGGAAGAACTTGGATTATACCCTACATAAGAACAGGAAAGGTGTCCTGTTTCTTCAAAGCCTGCAAACCTTGAGAAAACAAAAAAACAGTCAGGCCAGCAGATGTACTACAGCCTGCAACCCAGCTGTGTGCACAGGACTGAACAAAGACTGCCACACTAATGGTACAAGTACTGTCTTAATTCTGCAATAAACAGATTCATTTTGCTCTCAGCTCGAGTCTTGTTTTCATAGGCTACAAACACTGACATTTTCGTGTATAATTTTATACAATGGTTGCTGATTTTGCCATTGTTAAGCAGCTGGACATCCCTTCTTGGAAAAATAAAATGGTCAGGAGTACCCCCCCCCCCCCACACACACACAGAGTACTCTCAATTTAAAAAGGATTTTTTAAAAGTTCTTTAGTTTCATCCACCAAAAGTACATTTCATGGAGAGAGATTGCATTTTGTCTATATAATCTTAGGGCACTGAAACATTATTTAGCTCTGTTACAAAAAAACCCAGGACTAGCTCACATTTTATTTTACATTAAAAAGTCCGTCCCCCCCAAAAAAAAAAAATCCAAAACAAAAACAACAATAACAAAAAAATAAACAAACAAAAAAAAACTCCACAGCACATTAAGAACTCACTAATTATCTTCTTTGTTGTTTGGGAATTTTCTATCATTTGGAAAGCAAAAGGTACATAGGTGGTGTCCCTGGATTATTTTAACATACTGCCTGTGTTTATGCCCATTTTTTTTGCACTATGCAGCACTATTTTCTAAATGCTTTTGCATCTTTTATTGAGTTGCAGATTAGCCACCTCTTAAAATAATGATAAACATTTACTTTCGACACCTTGTTACTGTCGCAGCAAACATCACAGCATATGTCATAGTCCAGAGAACCACGTACAGAGAGTATCCCCATACAATTTCAGAAAGCTTCAGCCCACACACAGTAACACCATACCTCTTCAGAAGGCTTCAAGTGCCTGCCCTACAGAGTAACATCCCACCACTTCAGAAGGCTGCAGGGGTCTGCCCTTCTTGTTCTTCAGCCCAACCTTTTATCCCCTCACGTTGATTCCCTGCCCCTGTGTGCCCCCTGCTCCCTTTGGAGGTTGCTCAGTGCCCCGGGCACTCCATGGCTCATTGCTGTCAGTGCTGCTCACAGCTGTGCCACTGGGGATGGGGCTGGGCCAGCCCCACTCCAATCACCACAAACTGTGTGCCTACATGTTCCAGGCACTTTTCTTTGTCAATTGCTTTCAGTTGTTTGCAAGAGTTCATTTACAAACATCGAACATTTATAAACACCTGCCAGGTGCAAACAATTTCTTTACTGGGGGACAGCTGCACTGTCAGAGACGCTGTATTACAAATTCACCTTCAGAAAACACTCTTCTGTTATTCCTCTCTTAGCAAAGGACTTTACCTCATCATCATTACGAAAATGCAGCTGTTGCAAAGGAAGATTAAAGTGTTTTTACCTTTTTTTATCACTGTTTCACATCAGAATTAAACATCCCTTCTCTACTAGTTTAGCTTAACAACTCTGAGAGAGAAGGTATTATATTAAATTTTCCTATAAAGCTATATAGTTACCCCCAATTCTACAAGTGTGTATTCTCCTAGAAAAGGAATGCTAGCCAATATTTGCAGGGCAAGGTTTTTATAAAAAATAAAATAAATTAAAACAAATGCCCGACTTAGGGCTGAACATTCCCACGAACATAATGTACCACATACTTGTCATTAAATACAGGGCACAAAAGTTCCCTTTGGAGCGAAACGTTAAATCATCTCTGCACTTGGCCGTACTTCTATCATTACTGCAGAAGGCGCCTAGGCACACTTCGTTTTTATGAAACCGCGACAGACTATTCCAACGCCCGTTACTATCGCTAAACGCGGCAGAGAAGCTCCAACAGCAATAGAATGATAAATTATTATTTATTTTATTTAAAATAAAATCCATTTTCGGATGAACCAGACCCGCCCCCTCGGAGGGAGGAGCCGTCCCGTCTGAGCACCGCCCGCCTCAGGCCGGCCCCGGCGCGGCTGCCGAGGGACCCCGGTACCGAGACTCTGAGGGGATCCGTCGTTAATAACAGCAGTTGCCAAGGGCCCCGGTACCGGGGCTGTGAGGGGATCCCTCGTTAATAACAGCGGCTGCCGAGGGACCCCGGTACCGAGACTCTGAGGGGATCCGTCGTTAATAACAGCGGCTGCCGAGGGACCCCGGTACCGGGGCTGTGAGGGGATCCCTCGTTAATAACAGCGGCTGCCGAGGGCCCCGGTACCGGGGCTGTGAGGGGATCCCTCGTTATCAGGGGTACTGGGAGGAGCCTGGTTAATAACAGCGGCTGCTCAGAGGGACCCCTCGTTACCCCGGGTACAGAGCGGGATGCCCCGTTATCCGGGGTGCCGAGGGAAAACTCGTTAGTAACAGGGCTGCTGACAGGGATCCCTCGATAACAGGCGGTCCTGAGTGGGACCCCGGTAAGCTCAGGGCTGCACGCCCTTGCCCTGAGGTGAGGGAACGGGGAGCCCAGCGCCGACACATCCCCGCCGCCTCTCCTCCGCGGACGCCGCCGTCACCGCCCGCTGCCCATGCGCGCTGCGGCCGCGCAGGCGCAGGGGCGAGGCCGGGGCCGGGCCGGCGGGCAGCCATGGTGTACATCTCGAACGGTGAGGGGCCGGGGCTCCCGGGGGGCCGCGGCAGCCGCGGTGTGTGTCTGCAACGGTGAGGGGCCGGGCCGGGGGCTGGCACCGACCGGGGGCACCGGGGCTGCGCTGCTGGGAGCGCCGCCCCCAGCGCCGCCGCTGCCGGGACAGCCGGGCAGGGTCTGGCAGCTGCCGGTGTCGCGTCACCCCGCGCTGCCCTGCGGCCCAGCTGGCCTGCTTCTAAAGCGGATTTGGGGACTTTGAGGAGTCAAGTGCATGCTGCAGACTCCGGGAGCGTCACACGGCAGCACTTCAACCGCTTACGGGGAATCAGACTCTGCGCTGGTACTTTCTGTAGGTTTTCTGGACGTGGAGCCCTTGTGGCGGTGCTGACCCCTTTAGCTCAAGAACTTGGGCAGTAACCTGCAGAAAATGAAACTCGCTGACTTGAAGTGCAGTTTCATCGTCCCAGCTGCAAGCTCTGGACTTAGCAGATCTGGTTTTGTGTAATGTCCTGTTCAGTGTCACACACTGAACGTCACTGGATGTCTTGTATTTGGATATGTTACAGGACAAGTTTTGGATAACCAGAGTCGGGCTCCCTGGAGGTTGTCATCTATAACAGATTTCTTCTGGTCAATAGCAGATTTTGTGGTTCTGTTGTAAGTAGAAGTTAATTCTTTTGGTGAGCTTCATTTTAGATTCGACATGGGTGGAAGTTACACAATGCTATCAGTAACACAACAGTAAAAATATATTTACTCTCTAGCATTCCATATGTATAAATGCTTTACTACAACTATGTGGTTGTGTTTATTAAGCACAGTATACTTAACAAAAAGTGCATGAAAGTGACTATAACTTATTGGCAGTTCAAATGAGTTTTCTTACATTTAATCTATTTTGATACTGCAGAAATGAAATATACACTTTTGTTAAAAAGCATCTACTAGCTGATCAAATAATTAAGCTGTTTGGAGAATTTCTACTGGTGACAATAGATTCTGACTACGTCAAAGTAATCACACAGTAAACACAAATTTGGATCAAAGCCAGTTACCAAACAGAAAGTTCATGTGATATATTCAACAGTTCTTAGCGATTTCAGTTATAAGTTTATACTTTATGCATTTCTTGCATATTAGCAAGAAAACTAGATTTTATAGTTTAAGCTTCACTGTAATTTGGAATTATTTCAGGTTTTAGTTTCATATGTAGGAAACAAATTGCCAGGATTTAAACAACAGTGATCATGAGAAGATACTCCTGAAAACCACTTACTGTTTTTCAGGCCATTTCTTATCTTCCAGTCAAAATATTCAGAAACTATATCTAGCTATCAATTCACCTAACCATTGTTTTAATTTTTCAGTTTCCAGAGCATTATTCAACCAGATTTAAGAAGAAGAGGCTACACATCTTCCTCCTATTCAGGATACCATGATGGAAGAGGGTATTTTTTTCATATTCACACAGGTTTTTTCCTCTGTCTTGGTGAAGTGAAAGGAATCTGAGTAGATTACAGTTGTGATTGCATTGAATTGGGTTGTGCAGGAAGGCTAAAACGGTTGTCTGCACTATTGTTGGTAACAATGCACAGCTTTGGACAGCTACAATAGCAGTACAGACAGACTAACACTCTCTGAAAATATTTTTGAAGCCTGCCTAGGAGAAAAGATATCTTTGTTAAAATACTTCTTTTCTTAGACATATTTGTACTCAGCATTTGACTTGCATTAGTGCAGTCATTTCTTGTATTACATTACCTAAAGCAAAACACTGTTACAGGGGTGTAATTTCTATGAACACTGCAGCCTAAGTGTTTTGTAGGACTGTGTAAAAGCATCACTGATCTGTGGCCTTCTCACATCACACAGCAGTAATGAAACAGGAGAGGATTTTTGTGATAGTGGGGTTGGGGTTTTCTTACAGCTTTCCAGGTGAAACTCAACTTTTTTTAGAGGTTCAGACTTTCTCACTACTGACATTTAGAGATAGTGTTATTGTATTTCCTGTTGAGAAGTTTAATGTAGAATTCCTTTCTTTTCAGGCCTCCAGCAAATCCTCGCCGTCGGATGGGCCGAATAAATCACTGGGGTGGAGGCCCCAGTCCACCCCCAATGGCTGGAGGTGGATGAGGAAGGTAATTCCAAATCTGCTGCATCCTGCTTTGAAGGGTTTGGGGTTTTTTCAAATAGCAGTGTTAATTCAGGGTTAAGGTAGAATGGAGTGTTTTGTACTTCCTGGTGCAGAAGTTACCAAAACAGGAAAATAATCAAAATTATTCAACAATAAAAGAAATAAAGATACTTCCAGTAAAGGGGAGAAAATGTAGGGGGGAGGGATGTTAAAAAGGATTTTGGTTTAGGAATGGTGGGCTTTTATTTTTAATTACACAAAAGTTGATAGACAAAGTGTGGCAAAGATTTTTGAGCACAACTGATAAGTTATTTATAGCTTCTCACCTTTTTTGGCTGCTAATTTAAAGATCAGATTGTTAGAAAATGATGCTTTGTTTGCATTTCTAATAGTTATATGACATGATGGGTTTTGGTTAAAGTTGGTATTTCTCAACAGAAATGAAAGAAAAATATAAAGTTACAAGACAATAAAAATGGGGTTTTTTCCCCCATTACAATGACACAGCCATACCAATCTTGAATTCCATTAAAGTGAAAAAATCAGAATTGCTTAAAAATAGAGGTAAAAGAGGTTTTAAATTTCTTACAGCTGCCTGATATTTAATTCTGTTTAATAATTAGTTTGGCTGCTAGGAGTTACAGCTGACACTGAGTGTATTTACAGTATGGTTTAATTTACTTTAAGTAAACAATCTTTGTTTTCATCAGTCACTCCCATTGTTACTATAATAAAAGTTACAAGGAAAAAAAAAAAAAACCAACCCATGCAGGTAGTTAATACCTGTAAACCTTGTAGGAAAAAGTTCATATACCAGGAAACACAGACACCAGTATTTCAGTTCACTGGAACAAGGATAAGCTTCTTCCAAGTGGGAGAAAAACCCTGGGATATTGTGGTTTTTCTTGTTGAGTAGACACAAGGCCAGCAAAGACCATGGAGATGGCTTTTGGGTAATCACAGCTAACTGTAACCTGCTGAGAAATAAAGTTAGCAAGTCTTTAGCATGTCTCACATTTAGGTAAATTAAAAGCAATATTATTTTAAATTTTCTACTTAATTTCATCTCACAAAGAAAGGCCTTTTTAAATGTACTGTTACTGCTTTATCTTTTAGGTAAACGCCTGCTGAAGAGGCAGGCACAAGCATACACATCAGCCAGATGAAAAGAAGAGTTTAGTGGTGGACCAAATGGGGATGTGTATGCCTGACTGGAAACTGTTCTGTGATAGGAGCAGATCAATGAAGTTGTACTGGGAACTCCTTCCTCAAGGATCCGGTGTAACTGAACCACAGTTTCATTAAATACATGTTTACTGTCTAAAGTCTTTGTATAGTTTCTGAACATTTTACTGTAGTTGCAAAGTTATAAGTAAATTATATTTGGCTTGTCACAAGGCTGATTTTCTCATCATTTTTAAAAACTGAAAAAATCTGAAGTACCATAAGCCTTCTTATATATATATAAATTCATATTTGTAGTTGATAGAGATGGTCCCTCAAAAGTCAAAGCAGTACTTCCTAAGAGCTTTTATACTCGCTCTCTCAGAACAAACACTCTGTTGTATTTTCCTTCTATTAATGATACTCTAAAAGCATTTCAAAAATGCAGTTAACAAATTACTTCGTTTTAAAGCCCTTGCTTCACTAAGGTCCATAATGGTGTTTATAACAGAAACACCTCTTGAAAGAACTTCCTTCTCCCCTATAAACTTACTGAAATGTGTAAAAACATTTACTGTACAAATTTTAGGTTTTTTTACAATAAAATTAGGTGTTGTTATTATTACATGAAGAAAAAAGAGGTCAACTCAAATACTGAAGGCTATCCCAAAGTAGTTATTTTCTTTCAAATAGTAACTGTCTTTTATCTGATGTACCCCTTTTCAGGATGGGAGTTTCTCACTGTTTTTGCCCTGAATGTATTCCTTAACAGTCCTTAGCAGGAAATTAATCAACAATGCCCCTCAATTAACAAGCCACTCCAGCAGATACCACGCCTACCTAACACAACATTGCTCTCTTTTAGACTCGGCTGTGTAACGGCAACTTTCAACCTTTAAAAACCACACCTCCCCCTGCTCCAGTCAAACATCCTCTCTGCACAGTTTATAAAGGAGCTCGCTGCCCATCGTTACCCCTTGCAGCTTACCGCGTACACCAGCTGTACTACAGCCTTTGTGCAGAGTATTTTAAGCTCCAGCCGTACCAGCCCAGCTGAGAGCGTTTGGCTGGTGCTCCACCAGACCCGCTGCAGCGGCAGGGCTGCTCCGCCCGCTCCCCGTGCCGCTGCTGGGCTCCTCAGCGCCGGGGCGGGAGCCCCGCACTCCGCTACAAGCGGAGCCATCCCGGCAGGGGCCGCCGAGGCCCCCCGGTACCTGCTGAGGGGCGGGGCCGGGCCAGGGCCCGCCCGCTTCCGCCCCGCGCGGGGCTCGGCGCCGCTCGGGGCCGGCAGACGCGGCTTCCGCCCGGCCGGAGCATGACCCAGGCGGAGAAAGGCGAGGCGGAGAACGGCAAGGACAAGGAGCGTGACCGGGAACGCGAGCAGCGCGGCGTGAAGCGGCCCATCGTCCCCGCCGCCGTGCCCGAGTCGCTGCAGGAGGTGAGGCCCGGAGCGGCGGCGGCTGCCGGGCGCTGCTCCCTCCCCGCTGGGGCGGGCCCGGCCCGGGCTCTGCCTCTTAAAGGCCTGCGGAGGGGGTGTGGAAGCGTCGGGAGGGCTCCAGGTGGTCCTGGGGGCTCGATCTGACTCCGTGCTCGTTGTGCTTGCTTTCAGCAAATACAGAGCAACTTCATCGTGGTGATCCACCCCGGCTCGACCACCCTGCGGCTCGGGCGGGCCACGGACACGCTGCCCGCGGGCATCCCGCACGTGATCGCGCGGCGGCACAAGCAGCCGGGCCAGGCGGCCTACAGGGACAGCTGGCTCCTCAGGGACGGCCTCAATGTGAGCGCGGCCCCGCCTCGCCGAAAGCCGCGTGGCCATCGCCTGCTCTGGGGCGGTTTGGTTTCTCGTGTAGTGCATATGTGCCTTTCATCCTTCATGGTTTCCCAGAGGAGAATACATCTCGTGTCAAACTTTTTTTTCACCCTTTTAAGGACTGTAGATGCCACCTACTGAAGTCAGTAGGCTTGGACCAGTCTGCGTTTTATTTGATTTGTTTGCAATGAACTAAAACTAATGAATTAATAGGTTGAGGGTTTGTACATGTTGATTTCCCTGTGCTATGGTCTGGTACCACACTCAGTATTTCTTCTGGTGGAGTGCCAACTGTAGGATTAGAATCAGACTTCTCCGTTTGTGAATGTGTTGGTTACTAGTTAGTGACTTGGGTAACACAGCAAGTCATTTTAGTCCAGCCTGATCAAAAGACATATGTAATAATCTTATTTGTAGTCTGAATCTGTAAAAATCAAACTAACCTCTCTAATATTAGACCTCACTGTTAAATAATTGAGATCTGTTTAAACATTTTTGCTCCTATCTCATATGTCTGTAGTTAAGTAGATAATGGCTTGAGCACATCATTAGAGATGAAGTCCAGCAGCCACTAAAAGCAGTTAAAAGATTCAAGTTGACTTGAATAGGTGTTGGGAACTCTAATATAAAAAATAGTTTCTTTTAAAATGAGCATTGGTCCGTTTTGGATTGTACAAACATCTGTCCTTTCTACCCTCTATCTAAATTTAATAAGAAATTATTTCATTATTTCCTAATAGCTTCAGTATTACCAGTATGTAAATGTGGTCTGAAAGTATTTACATTGCATATTTGGGGTTTTTCCTTAGAAACCTGAAAGTACTGAGCAGAGACAAAATGGCCTTAAAATGGTGGACCAAGCAATATGGTCCAAAAAGATGTCAAATGGAGCGAGGCGCATACCAGTGTCACCTGATCAGGTAACTCATTCTTTAGGTCTTATTAAATTGTTCATTCATGCAGTCCTGGGTGAGATGCTGTGCTTCAGGACAAGAATAGATACCCTTCCTAGACCAAGTATGCATAGGTGCTATTGTGTTACCTAACTCTGAAAACATGAGAAAGTTAAGATTATAAGTGTTTTCTCAAGGGCTGGATTCAAAGGGATATTTCATTTTTCTTCCATGCATAAAAAGTGACCGGTGAAATATTTATCAACAGGATTTGGTTTGGTTACATTTCAGGCCAGGTCGTACAACAGACAGATGAGGCCTGCCATTTTGGATCACAGCTCCGGGGCCAAGTGGACAAACACATCAAATCATCCTGAATTTTTGGTAGGAGAAGAGGTAAGATTGATTTTCCTGCTGAATGAGGCTTCGTGTGCTTTAATGCAGCCATTGATCAGTTGCAGTGTGCTGTGAGTTAGTGTGTACTGAAAGATGTGTAAAGCTAACCAAGCAAAACTGAGAAACTGTACTGTGGAGTAACGGAGTATTTTTTATCATTCAGCAAGACAAGAGGGTTCCCCCATTTGCTTAACAAGTATCTTGGATCCCTTGCTGCTATAAATCAGGGTTTTTGCAGGGAGTAGGTGAGAACTTTACCCATATGGCATAATTCAGAGAAAAAGAAAGCAACTGATAAAAGTATCACTACATGGAATTGCTGCTGAGTAACTTGATATTTGTGGGCTTCAAAGTATTTAAGTTATTTTAGTTTCTAATATGGTGTAGTGGAAAAATATAGCTTTATATTCACTAGATGTCTGTGGGTAAGAACATTCAAACAATTTAGACTATGTATTTGCTGTCTTTTTATTTTAATGGTTTATAATCAAGCTCTGTTACAAAGAAATCTGCTGTATTGCTGTGACATCAGTCTGAGCTCTGCCGTGTCTTGTGTGTGCTTCTGAAATACTCTTCTTCCCAGTTGTTACTCATTTTGTTAGTATTTTTTTTTGGGAAAAGCAATGCCCAGAATGCAATCTCTCATTTTCAGGCGCTGTATGTTAATCCATTAGATGCTTACAACATACATTGGCCCATTAGAAGGGGGCAGCTGAATCTCCACTCAGGACCTGGTGGCTCCCTCACTGCAGTACTGGCAGACCTGGAAGTTATATGGTCACATGCAATACAAAAGTACCTGGAAATACCTCTGAAAGACCTAAAGGTGAGCTGTGAACAGCACATTTATGTGGTGTGTGCTGTATCCACTTCTCTAAACGTTACTGTAAAAGAGAAGCAACTTGCTGGTATTGGTAGCCTCTTACTGGTGCTTTCCTTAGTAAATACCTTCTTTCTGCTGGTGAGCTAGGTACCCAAGACTTCATCTGGAATTTTGTCCATGTCTTTAAGACAAAAGCTGTTGATAGAAGCTCTAACAAGGATGTTTAGAAATCCCATGATAGACATTTCATAGTTTTAGTCTTTGGGTTTTTTTGTTGACTGTAAAGGAGGCACCTGGGGAAGGGCTGCCTGATACTTGTATAATTACTTATCCTTGTTAAGTAGGTGTTTGTCTCATGCCTGGTGTACTTTTACACATTTTAATGGCTATAGACTCTTGGCACATATTTAGAACATATTTTTTAAAGTATTAAAAACCTTCCCCTTTCCCAAAATTTTGATTTTTTTTTTATAAGTTGTATATCGAACTTTATTTAGAGCTGGCTTTAATTTACTGTTCTTGTCTTCAGTACTACAGATGCATTTTACTAATTCCAGACATCTATAATAAACAACATGTGAAAGAACTGGTAAATATGATCCTAATGAAGATGGGCTTCTCAGGTAAAATCCATAGTGAAGGAAGTACTTGCATTAATTAATAAGATGTTTTTTTCTTTTAAGGCATATTTTGCACATCAGTCCCAGGTTACCTGGGCCTAGCACCCTCATCTTTTGCCAATCACATAACTGCTTTCTCTTCTAAAGGGGTAAAATGGTTGGCTGATATTGAAACAAGTTTTTTTGTTTGCTGTTATGCATTCTAGCTGTGGGCTTCTCATTCAGCTGGATTAAAAGTAGCAGCAGTCTCATTTCTTAAATATTTCTAAAATGCAGGACTGTCTAGAAGGACAGACTGGAATCTCTGGTACTTCCCAGGTTTAAGTATGGGCTTGTGACACAAATGTGCTCTGTAAAGGTGGATTGTAGGGAAAACAGAGGGTCAAATTGGGCCTTATTTCAGAATTACTTAAAGACCATATCTGAATTGCTAATAACAATGCTACTTGATTAAAATCAGAAAAAAAATTAGGAAAACACTTCAGAAAGCACTTCAAGTACATCTGGTAGCCAAGACCCTGCACTACCAGATTGAAAAAATACTTGCTATTTGGAGACAATACCTTTAATCTTGTAGAAAAAGGGTCATTTGACCCTGCTCTTAGCTTCTTTTCAGGACTTTTAAAGCCTTATTCAACAAAAAAGTCTCATAAGTACCCCCCACCCCACCTTCACTAAATATACA